ATGACTTCTGCAGTCACTACATGAGTGTCTAAAGATGGACATCAACATGGAAACAGAAGAAGAGAACAGAAACAAGGAGCAAGCAGAGAGGCAGAGTGGAAGAAAAGGACAAGGTTGGAAGAAATACATGATACATCATTGGGAGGAATACTAGTGACAAAGATAATGCAGTCATGAAAGCAGAAGATGAACGATTAATGTAGGAAAGGAAAATGCAGCAAAACCAGAGGAAAAAATAAGCATGGGTAACAGTTAAAACAGATTTAAAAATTAAATTCCCAAAACAAAAATGAGATCACCGGAAAATAGCTTCAGAAAAGTGACATGGTACATCAAATGTTTGGCAGTAAGAGGAACCAAATTTCCACTTTCTCACATACTTTCTGTGTCTCAATACAAATACAGAAAAAAACTACAACAAAACCCATAACATAAAATGGTTGCATGCTGCTGTAAGCTTGTGTGGGTGGGAACAAAGCAGCAAATAAAAAACATGAAGCCAAACCCAAGAATGCCTTAGTGTACTAACAGAGTATAGAACCCCGAGCTCTATCTATACTTTACAGCTGAAAGTAAATGTGAGGACAGAAAGCAAGTTTGAAATTCATTTTTGTTTCTTCTGTTCTCTTTTACTTGCCAACTTCTTTCACTATATTGGCAAATGCTCTTGTTTCTCTAGTTGCACATTTACAGTCTTCATTAAGAGACTATATTGTGAATCATTACCAAGGAAAAGTATCCATTCTCCTCACCACAGCCTGGCTGCTGCCCAAGTGCTCCATATTGAGTGAAGTATTGAGTCAAGTGCAATAATAGTGGGATAAACTGTTTACTCTCTATGAAATGGATTCAACTCATCTCAACTCAGCAATGTTGCCTAGTTATAAATGAAGACATTTTTGTTATTATATTCTACTAGGAGAGATGGAAGTGACTTCATTTTCACAAGGGACTCAGATTTGACTTAGCTCTGATCAGAGGTGGTTCCTGGCTCCTGTGGGAAACAGCAGATGTACTTATTATACTTATTGTCAGTGATGACATAATTGAATACAGTCTATTTGACAATGAATGAGGATAAAAAGGGCTAGCAAGATTTGCTGGATGGAGGGAAAGAGTTTGTAAAGCTCCACATTCACAGTTTGGAACTATATAGTCACTGAAAAAACAGCTTATTTCCCACTTTCCTTCATATTTTCTTCTTTGCTGGCTCTATCGCTTTATGCTATGAGAACCCCTCATAATCTGTGACATTTCTTCAAAGTCCAATACATGTATTAGTAAAGACTATAGAACAAAATTCTATTTTTCCAAACCCATGCAGTACCCAAGATCTCTTTTCCTCCTCGTTCTGTACAGACATTCCTTACAGAAACTAAGGTGCATTCTACATAAAACTGGAAGAGAGCATACATCTTCCGACAGAGAGCCAGATTCTAGTTATAGCAGTACCAGTATAAACTGTACACAGGTGCAGCTTCTCTGCACTTTCACATGAGAGTAGGAGTTGGTCATTGGCAACTGGAAACTAGGACAGCTTAAAACAGTCTTATCAGGTGGTACCTACAAAATGCTGCTATCAGGTATATTTTCTGTATGTCATGTTCTACCAAACAAAATACATTGCTTACTTTTGCATCTGGCCACGTCACAAATAATTTAATTTCTTTACTGATTACCAAGTTATAGAAGGCTGTTTTTCCAATACAGACAAAAAGCCACTGTAACCTGACTGACTTGTCCTGCTTAATTTAACTAGGCAGCTAGGGGCATATGAAGTACTACACAGGAGAATCACTTGTGAGGTTATATGTTCTGGAAAGGACTTCTCCATTTATGTATACTGCCACCAATGACATAGAAATAGAAAATGCCTTTCAACCTTTCTGGTGGGTAATCCCACATTTTCTCACGAAGTCTCCATATCTACTCTGGTAGTCTGGCAACTATTACCAGACTAATAGAACTCAATCGGTCTTCATTAGCTCTGGACATGTGTGAGTCACTAACATCTGACTGTAAACAGAGTGCTTATCAAAGTGTTTATTGATATATTCTGATGTAGCAGAGTAATGCCATTTGAAACAACATTACTTCAGTGGATATTTAGGAAGAGACCCTCATGAATTAGAAAACAGAATGACTATCAGAAAAAGAACACTAAAATGCCACAATAGTTTCTGTTGCCTATGCTGACTCTGCATCTATGCCTATACTTGCCAACACAATATTTTCACACTACTCAATCCTGTCTGCTTACTACACATAGTCTCAAATGTACTTAGCACTTGAAAAATAGATATCAATTAAAACATTCTGTAATAGGTCACAAAAAAAAAGTCTAAAAATAAATACTACTACCAACAAACTTGGTCTTACCTAAGTATTTTGCAGTCAATGCTCTAGCAATCTGTCATCTAAGGAGTAGCAAGGTCCAGCTGCCTCCTGATGGATGGAGACCCAAGTCAAGTAGCCAGGCTGGCTACCAGCATGGCAGGAGCCCTGTCTCGCTGCTCCTAGGCAAGATACAGAGCACTGGAGCTGAGAACCAGAGAGCTCAGGCAAAGTTACAGTAGCTAAACAGATACAAGGTCAAGCCAGAAATCCACACTACAAGCCAACAAAGCTTATGGTTAGACACAGCCATAACAGAGTTCAAAAAAGGAGTGAAGACCAGGCCAGAACTTAATTTGAGTTTCCGCACCTGTGGGCAGAGGTGTGGGCAGGGGCGGGGGTGGAAGCCCCAGCTGAGGGTGGTCAAGGCCATTAAGGCACACTAGTACACTCAGGGCCCTGACAACATTTTGGAGCCAATACTAGCAGGCTGCTCGTATGTGGCTAAAATCAGTTAGCAGATACCTAAGGAAAAGGATAGCAAAAAGTTCAACTGACTTTCTCCTGGTTTTCATTGTACCTCTCCACTGCTGTATTTTTTTTTTCACTTAATTTCACCAGCTTAAGACCAAGGCCTGATTAAAATACTTGAAAAAACTCCACAAATATTTTTAATTTTTCTTTATTTTTTTTTTATTCCAGCTTTGTCGAATCTGCTAATACTGTCTAAATCTCCCATATCTAAAAGGACTATTTGCAGAAAAGCTTTTACTGTGCTTTGGTCTGGGATACATACCTTTTCCCACAATTTTTCCTAATACCCCCTATATCTCTTAATTCTGAAACATTCCTGATATCTTTATACTTGAAACAGAAGAAAACTATGGTACAGGCTTATCTCTGTGGGAATTTCTCAGCTACACTCGTGGCCTAAGCAGTACAGACTACTGTCTTAATCAAAGAAGTCAGAAAAAAATATCAGAAAGAAAAGAATCAGTAACGGACTTCCATTACACTCTTAAGTTGCCGCCTTCTGTTCTTGCATAGGGAGTGTAGGTGAAGAATATAAAAGATAAAACTAGCTCCGACTATTTTTGAACTATTTCTTTCAGCTGTTTTTGTTTGCACTATTACAAAGCCTTGGCAGGCAAGGAAAATATTCTTAGAATAGCAGATTTCTTGCTTTGTTCTGCATCTGTTCCAAAGCCATACATTTGTATTTGAACAGCTGGCCAGTAACATGCAACTATCGAACATGACAATGACATAGTAGCACAGTGTTCTTTGTAGAGGACTGAGGTTTCAAAGCTGAAGTAAACCCTCAGATGTTCACATCTTGGTCTTAGAGGTACATATTCAGATTTAAATAATACTTCTTATTTTTCTTGAATTGAGCTTTCTATTGGCAATGAAGAACTAACAAGCACTCATATCAAAATAAAAAACTGGAACCGATCTGCAGAAAAGAATTTCCTGATGCTCTTGCTAGGACTGGAACCAAAGGAGCTCAGTCTGGCCGTCTGTCATTACCATGCTGTGTGTAGTTTTAGAGTTTTGAAATTGTGTTTTGTTTTTTATACAAATGTGTAAAAAGTTCAGAAAAAGACCTTGACGAGCATCCATAGCTCCTTCTATGTCCTCATCTACTTTGTAACTTTGTATCATGGGGTATATATAACCAAATTCTAAAATCCCCAGCTATAATCGTGGGGCCAACTATATTATTCTCCTGTGTTACCTGCCTGCTGACCTATAAAGTGAAACTTGAATTTATGCCTACAACCTTCATAAAAACTATCTTTCCATTTAAAGAATTCTAAGAGGATATCAAGGCTATTTTTCTGTATAGAAAATAACATTGACCTAAAATAAGCTGTTTGGTGAAGTTTCTTGTAATTGCTGCAACAAACACCATAATTAACAGTTATATTAACGTTCAGAGATTTTTATGCTCATACTGAATGAGATCTGTACAGCATCTGCTCTCCAAAGTGTAAGTGGAAAAGGGTAAATTAATTAGTTGCTGGAGAAAACTGACAACTATCACAGTACATGTTGCTACTAAAGAAGTGCTGAAGCAACTTTCTTACTGAACAACGATTTTTATAAAATGTAATTATTGTGAGGCTTTGCAGACTGCTTCACATATTTGTCCTGATGTATGTTCCCTTTCCTTCTTCCTTCTTCCTTCTGCACACACAACACCAGCTTTCAACCGAAACACTGTGGCAGTGGGGTGGCTGACAGCCACCACAGCCTAACCTAAACGCTACAAGAGCACACAGACAAACAACAAAACAAAAAAAAAAGAGCACGGCCTAGCTTATTTTCACTGAACAAACTGCAGAAAACCAGACAGAACAGGCAGAGTACTGGAGCGTGAGCATCACTGCAGTTGTCATGCATCTTCCCAAATCTGGGATTTTTTTTTTTTTTTTTTTTTTTTTTTTCCCCACACCGACCCCTTGCACCGCTTTGTAAAACCGCCAGGCTGCTGTAGGCTGGTCCTGACAGCTCCTTCCCCGCCCTCCCCGGGCAGCACCATTGGACTGATGAGATGCGGGAAGACATATGTAAAAAATAAAGGCGGGGGGGTGGGAAACAACAACAACAACAAAAAAAACCCAAACAAACAAAAAAACAAACCTAAAACCCAAACTCCAAACGGGTCTATTTTGCCGAGGGAGCCGCGGGGCCGGGGCGGCGGGGGGAGCAGCCCTAGCCCTTTAAGCTGCCCGCCCCGCGGGCAGGCCGCGGCGGCAGCTGCCGGCTATTTATACGCGGGCGGCGGCAGCGGGCGCTGGGCCGTTCTGGTCCTGGTGCGGGCCCGGGCCTCGGGCTGCCATGGAGCCGCCTGTCTCCTCCACCCCGGTGAGCGGGAGCCGCTCCCCCCGCGCTGCCGATCCCCCCGTCTCGCCGCTGATCCAGCCGCAGAGCCCGATGCGGCTGAGCCGGCTGCAGGAGAAGGAGGAGCTGCAGCAGCTCAACGACCGCCTGGCCGCCTACATCGAGCGGGTGCGGGCGCTGGAGGCCGACAGGTCGGTGCTGCAGCAGCAGCTGGCGGAGCTGGACGCGGAGAGCGACCGGGAGCTGGGCAGCCTGAGGCTCTGCTACGAGGCGGAGCTGGCAGACGCTCGCCGGGCGCTGGACGATGTTGCCCTAGAGCGGGCCACGCTGCAGGTGGAGCTGGGCAAGATCAGCGAGCAGTATCAGCAGCTGCACAGCAGGTCGGTGCCCCGGCCCCGAGCGGGCCTCCCTGCTGAGAACCCCCCCTGGGCTACCCTCCTCCCTGGGGCTCTTGCAGGGTGAGGGGAAGGGGACGCTGCTTGCCAGCAGCTGTGTCTTGGGGAGGGAGCGCTTGGTGCTGGAGGGTGTCTGGGTTGTGGCGGTGGTGGCACCCCGAGGGTATGGGCCTGCGGGGTTGGGGTGTCTTGGGTTAGGCGTGATCCGAAGATGTGCTGTAGGGATGCTTCTGTGGGTGCCTCTTGCTCTAGTGCTGCTGGGCCACTTCAGCACCTCCTTGTGCTGGGCACGGGGATCCCTCAGAATTTGGGTGTCGGGTGGTGTTATGGGGATAGTATTGCATGGATGTGTAGCTGACTGGGTTTGGCACTGCACCTGTGCTTGTAAACACTCATGCAGCTGCTATGCAGGAAAGCATCTAGAAAGTTACGGGTGTAGGGGAAGAGGTCTCTGCATGGAGTCAGTTTGCACCTTTTGGGGGCTTTTTAGCTCAGAGATTGCATAGAAGGGAATACAAGCAGTATAGCTTACCTGGTCCAGACTGGTACTGCACAGAAACTGTCCTTGTGGCTTTTAAGTCTTCATTTCTGTGCTACTGGGATGAACTGCCTGCTGTTTCAGGGTGGACTTTCTTGCAAGCTTCTTTCTGTACTGAGCCTGGAATCCTCTTGTCTAGTCTTGACAAGCCTGGAATAAAGGGGCGGCCCAGTGTAAGTACAATCAAATCCTCTTGAAGGCGGGAAGATGGGTAGTGAAGGGAATAAGTGTCCAATCCCACCAACCTTCCTTTATGGATATACACTGAGTGCTAGCATTGCTAGCTGCTTTAATGCCCCATTGTACTGCTAAATCAATTAGACTTGCAATAATTTGGGTGTTCACAGGCCACCTAAATTCTGTTATAAACTTTAAACACAGCAACTTTAAGCATCATATTTTTCTTTTAACACTTGTATGGAGCAGATACTGCCCCCTCATAGGCTTAGTAGGACTTAAGTAGCTGTTCTACTTGGGAATAAAACAAGTTTTTTCTCTAAAAAGCTTCTGTTTACAGCTGCTTGTAAGTTCTTGGGCTTGTCTCGTTCATGCTGGGTTTTGGCTCGTAGATCTGTTTCATAAATCTAACCAGCCACTAGAGTGGACAGTGAAGAGAGGGGTAATGCCAGTTGTAAAACTTTGCTGCTGCTCTTTGTGTTTGTATAACTGTGACTTTGTTTATAAAGCTTTAGGCTTGGCAGGTATGCAATTCTCTGAACTGATTTTTTTTTTTTTCTTTAAAGTAACTAGGTCTTAGAAGTGGTTAACTTTACAGCCCATGGGAAATGATACATAGTACATGCTGCTTTCTGAAAGAACTAGACTGAAGTATTAATATTGTGTGTTTTGCATTTGGGCTGCCTAACTGCAAATGTCTCAGATGACTTGGAACAAACTACTTTGAGGGTATCGTGCCCTTTATATATACACCCTTTAAATAACCTGGAACTCTTGTAGGATGGAATGTCACCAGATAATTTCCCAACAGCATTAACAATTGGCCCTTATTAATGACTGGTAAAGAGACTTAAAGCTTCAGCAACGATGAAGTGTGCTTGCATTTCAGCTTTTTTCTTATGACTTACAGTGGTAACTGGAAGTAGGCCAAAGATGTTTGGGGAGGAGGAGTTGTGGATAAGCATAGCAGTTAGTTGCCTTTGGAGCCTGAGGAAGGTCAAAGCAACTACAGTAGCACAGCAGAGAAAGACAAGACCAGTTTCTAGCCGCACCAGTGAGTGCGGATGTGCATTTTGCTACTGACCCTGACATGCGGTGTAGCAAGCTGAAGCTGTAAGAATTAATTCTGCAAGTGCTGTTAGGGTTGTCCTAGTCTTGATAAACTGGGGTCTGTTTCAAACATACCTGAACTCTTTTGGTAAAATTAAAATGCTCCATGTCAAGTGTATGTGACACCCTGATTTACAAAGACTGTGAATGGCAGTGCCTCAAAGTTAGTGCTTTCAACTGATAGTCAATAAGCCATGCCTAGTTCAGGAATGGTTGGTATATGGAATATTGTAGAGTAGTGTAGCTGTCACTGCTTGCCGCATAATAATGTAAAATGGTGTTCAGAATCCCAGACTTGGTTTAAAAGGGTAGTAAATGCTCTTGTCAAAGCCAGACTTGTTAAATTGCTGTTCTTAAAGATTAAATTACTCAGTTCAGGGTTCTCTGAAAATAACAGTTGTCAGGAAAAAGTATAGGAAACCTGAGCCTGGCTGTTAGAGGCCTTCATCAGGAAAGTGGACCATGAAACCACAGAGTTAAAACACATAATAATAGAATTCAGACTGGCACACTTTATAGAATGAAATTTATATTATCGTGGGATGAAACAGTCAATATTATCATTAAGTAGTGTTATTGATATACTTATTGCAAATATTAGTTATGATATTAACAAGTGGTAGTGGTAGCAGAGATCCCAAAAGGAATGTGACTAATTAACACCTAGAAAATAAATAAAGAAACTTGAAAATACTAAAACTGCAACATATCTTGTTTTTCATTGTTACTCCAGTAGAGTTACTTTTTTTTTTTTTTTCCCTAGGGTCTGGGTAGATAACAAATAACCTCTGCTAGCAAAACATTTGGTTTTGTCATGGTCATGAAGTACAAGGACGCAACCAACAAATGCCTGTGAATAGCAGGGCTAGAAATGGCCTTGAGCAAGAACCTGATACAGCCACATGCCCCAGGCCTGGTTTGGAACCAACCATACCTGCATCCCTTCCAGCAGATGTTTGCATAACCCTTTTTTAAAATTCCAGATGATGGAGATTCCAGAATATCCCCCTAGGCAATGTGCTTCAGCGTTGAACTACTGTTAGTTTCCTCTCCCTAACATCTAACCCAAATATTCCTCCCTGCAATTTAAGCCTGCACCTTCCTGTCTTTTCCACAACAGACATGGAAAACAGATTCCCTTCCTCTATGCGGCAGTCTTTCTTTCATGTATGTAAAGACTGTTACGTTTCCTGTCACTTTTCTCTTCTCTAGACTAAACAATCCTTGTTTTTTTCCAATGTTTCCTTGCAGTTCAAGCTTTCTAGAGCTGATCATTCCTGCAGAATGACTTTGGACTCTCTAAGGGGACTGCTCAGTTATAAACTGGAAAACTCATTGTATGAATTATCACAACATGGCCACTTTGCAGAACAGATTTTGCTAGAATAATTTGAACATTTCACTCTTTGCAATCTCAAATCGGAGTTTTGAGCAGGAAGCCAGACTCTGGGTAGTGGTCAGGCAACTGCAAGGATTTTAGAAGTTAGAGCAGTCTGGGAAATTATTACCCCTTTCCCTGACAAGAACTCACTGTGGGCCCAGCACTTAGCTGTGGTGTCAACTGAAGCTGGCAACTTAGACCACCGTCTTGGCCATCCGGGTGGTACCTGAGGGCTCAATGTCTCAGTATCTACACAAGAAAATGGCCTTCTGAAGGCAGAGCTTCTCTTACCCTGTGACTCTGCTGAGGCGTGAAGGAGGGAGAGTGTGTGACCCTGAGGGAGAAGAGTCCTTTGCAAGGGTGCTGAGGGAAGGGTGGTTGCTGTGGGGGCTCGTTGCCCTGTGGCAGGAGGTAAGGTGCCAGCCAGGGACGTGGGGCTGACAAGGCCTGCTCACCAGGGCTGGGCTGGCGACCTCCTGGGGTCGGAATTCCTCCTGCGCTGTGGGCAGGAAAGTTCAGGGGGGGGGCTGCAGGGCAAGGAGGAGTGACACCCCCGGCAGCCAGAGCTGTGATCTGCCCCTGCCTGCAGAGGGGGGGTGCTTTGCCCCTGTGTGTGGTGAGCATGGCCAGGTGCTGTGGGGGCTTCCCCGGGGTGGAGGTGACCTCCATGGCCTCTCCCTCCTGGTGAGGGGGTCTGTAGGGCTCAGCCCCAGGGGCCACAGCAAGTGGTGTGTTTTAATGACCAACAGACACTTTGCCAGGAAGCTGGTGGAGGCCTTTGCTGCTGAAAGGAGGTGTCTGTGTGAGCAGCTTGTTCAGTGGTGGCAGGTCACTGTCTGGTGAACTTAGGCTTTGAGTGTGACTAGTCTCTCCCTGTGGAGACAGTGTCCTGTGCTGTCCCTTCACTCTTCAGTTGGTAATGCTGTGGAAAATAGCTGGCTTCCATGTGGGACTCGCGCAAAAAAAGCTGGAAACTGAGTCAGAAATCTTTCTGGTTAAACAAATGATGCTTGTCTAAGGGACCTGTCTGGTTTCTTTTACAGCCTACCCTGTGCTCTCACCACAAGTGTGAACTAACCTCTCTCCAGTTCTGCCACAGACCCCTGTGAAGCTAAACATTAAAACAAGCTTTTACCTAACCAGCTGCAACTCATAAGTGTAAAACTTTCACCTGTAGGAATTCAAAAAAAGAAGCTGATTTAAACCTGGCACAGACTCGTTTGAGAGACCTTGATGCTCAGCTGAATGCGAAGGAAGCTGAATTAGCAACAGTTTTGAATGAGAAACGAACCTTGGAGAATCACCTTTGTGAATTAAAGGATCGTGTAGTCACTGTAAGACTTGTTCCTGGAATTTCAACTTTGCTTTTGTTCCTAAAGCTTTTGCTTGTTTTCCCAGACTAGTTATTGAGATCTAAAAGCAGGGCAAGACTGTTATCTATGACAATGGCAGGTGGACAAAACTATTTCTGCAATCTTGCTGAAAGAAAATGCTACTAATAGTTGGTCTGTTAAAACTTCCATTCATTGGAGGTACCTTTAAGTCTGTTCTATGACCATGGTATATGTTTCACTATGGTTAAATCTAGGTAGAATAAAGAAGAAATGCTGACTACTTTTTTTTGTAGGTTCTTGTGTTACTAAAACTCTGCTTGAGTTGCTATGCTATCAGTGCATTTCTAAGAGCATAGCTTTTGTATTTTCATGATTTAATGTGATTGTAGAACAAGCTAGTTTAAAATCTTTATGATGAAAACTTCAAAACAAAACCCCCCCTGAAGTTGTGTCAGTAAAGCAGCACACTCCAACAGTGGAAGTGTATGACAGTTTGTCAACATAGTTAGGCTATAGTTGGAGGATTTCACTTGTTAGGCATCAAACAAATTATATCAGGAGTTAGGGAGAAGTTTAGAATACTTAGTGTTGTGAAGGTGAGGAATATATATGGATGGTACAATTGAGTCATCAGAAGTCTACTTTGAGGAGTCAAGTTTAGCTGGTGGGATTAAGGGCTGCTCTATTTGCCTTGTGGGAAATCTGGTCTACATAACAATTAAATAGGATTCTTTCTGTTGGTAATATGCTGGATCTCACTGGAATAAGAGCTTAAACAGAATAACTAACTTCACTTAAGCAGTGTGTGTTGATTGTGGGAATGAAGATGAATGACCTGTGAAGTTGACTGTCTTAGTTTGGAAAAATGACCTCTTAATTTTGATTACACTGATGTCTGTCTTTTCTAGCTGAAGCTGTCACTGGAAGATACTGAAAAGCATCTCCACAGTGAAACGTTGAAGAGGGTGGACCTAGAAAATAATATGAAAACTTTGCAGGAACAAATGGTGTTCCAGAAGCACCTTCATGAAGATGTATGTTTTAGCTTATCAACAAGGATTTTTTTTTTTTTTTAAGTGTCTATCTTCCCTGAGTGCGCTTAAAAGTAATATTAAGATGTGCTTTATCCTTAAAAAGGTAAATAGCTGAATCAATCTGACTTGATCAGTCGATAAAATCCAACTAACTAGGAAGACTTCCAGAAAGTACACAACCTCATGTTAATTGGCATAGTACCAACAGTTATCTGGAATATGAGATAATTTTCTCACACTGCACTTCTGAAGGTAACTACAGTTCCAATGTACTACTCTGTGTAACTAAAAGTGCATATATTAAAGTGAAATGATTCCAGATGTTTGCTAGAAGCCTAAAATCAAGAAAGTTAAATCTCCTTTAATAAGCAACTTATGTTTCCTACTTCTTTAACACTTATCAAAGGTGTCTGGTAACCTTTATGTGGGAAGTCAGTACACAGCACTAAAAAACATGTGAATGTAAACCAACTTCCTTTTGACTGGAAGGAATCTCAAAGTATGTGGTTTAAGTGATAGAGAATTTCAACTTCTCTAACCAACTGCTATTATTTTTTGAATAAAACGAGAATAGGTAAAATAATGGGGTGTGTGAGCTGACATAGGCAGGATGCAGGGACAACCACAAAACCATGGCTGAAAAGCAAAAAGCGAATTTATTCTTGTGACCCAGGGGATCTCTGCAGCAACACCTGGGCAGAGGCACACAAGCAGGGATGCAAGCACTTATTTAATTATAAGGTCCTTATAAGACACAAAGAAAAGCTCTTGAACATGATGCTGTTGCGTGTATGTATCAGGGATTTCCACAGGCATACTCTTCCACTGTGCTTTGATCTTTCCCACAGCAGGGCAGGAATCTCAAGGATGTTTGAAAGGGTGCCTTGGTCTCTCACAGGCCTATGTTATCTAAACACAGATATTCTACCTGTCGAGCATACAAAGCTAAACAACAATTAGTGTGATATGTGTGTTTTGGTACCCCAGTTGTAAGTCATGTGATCGTGTTTACGTTCTTCCTTGCCAATCACCTGTTGTATTCCCACCTAGTGGTTAAAGAAACTGAAGTGTATACGCATGTGTTCTAAGTAAAGAAAAGCAGAGAAATCTATCTAGTTCAAAGAATTATTATTAATTGAATACAAACTACTGCATTTATTAGTCTAAGCAGTGGTGGCAGTGAGGTAGCAAAGCAACCCAGCACAGCTAACAAGGTGGAAGTACCCAACCTAATGGATGAATATCTAAGATCTGAATAGAGATGAATTACTGTGCACTCAATGATAAATCTGCTCCAACATTGAATTACTCGTTAAGCTGGTATAGTTAAGTCTGGTATCAAATCAAACTATTAGCTTGCTTATTCTCTGAGAAATTTCTTCTTTTCCTAGGAGCTCAAGGAGACAAAAAGAGTCCATGAGAGCAGAATAGCAGAAATAGAATCGGTCCGTCAGGGAGAACTTGAGAGTAAGCTCTTGGACCTTCTGCAGGGGCTCAGAAAACAACATGAAGAACAAATTCAAGTATACAAAGAGGAGCTGAAGCGAACATTCAGTGCAAAAGTGAGTCTATAAAAGATGCCAGTAAAACAAAGTGTAAGTTCTCTGCACCTTGATATGATTAAAGTCATAAATAGCTGACTGACAGAGCCCTTGCATCCAGTGCAGAGCTTCTTGGCGTAAGTTGTTATGGCATTTCAAAACTGTGTCAAATTTGACAGTTAGAGCTTCTATGAACGCTTGGTCCCAAACAAAACTGGTTCAAGCATAAATACTGTCCCTTTGGGGAGTGATCGGGAATGTCTAATGTAAAGTTGATCATAATTTAGACTTCTGACAAATCTGAGAGCTTGTCTGACAAATTCAGGATTAAGGTGTGGTATGTTTGTATTAAGCAATTTCAGTATTCTTGTATATAATTTGATCTACTGATTATAGTTTTACTAAAATGCATGAAATACAATATTAGTTCTACAAGAGCACTTTTAAATGTAGGAGTGCAAATGTCCCTTCCCACTTGCTAGCACTGTATAAGGGGGAGAGGGTGGCCTTTAATACTTGGTGCAAAATCACATGATCTTCTACTTCTCTCAACAAGTATGTGTGTTCATTTGTTCCTGATTCTTCTGGCTTTTGCTATAGTCCAATTTATATGCCAAATTGGTGAATTCCTTTGGATACTTATGTCCAGGTTTCCACTGGAAATTCTGTGAGTGCCTCTTGTAGGAGCATGGCTCTACTTTATCCTTTCTTGGAACATCTCAAGATTGAATTGCTCTAGAAAAATAGCTCAGTGCTGCTTATAGTGATGCAGGAACTGTTTATTGCTCTTCCCCAGAAGTTCTATTACTAGTTTGATAAGCACACCTAATATCCTGTAGCCCCATGCTTTGACAAGCATCTTATAAACTTTCTCAACGTTCTCCATTGTTCTTCTGGAGGATCAATTTACTTAATATCTATATGAAGTCTTCATGCATCTGTAACTGAAATATCCTAATCCAGCTATTTTCAATACCTGATTATTGCTTTTTCCGACATGAATGTCAAACTTGTGTAAACCTCCCTGAAAAGCAATTAAAAACTTTCTGACCTGAACTTTATTGGTATCTGCACACTTAAGTAAAACATAACTATTTCCAGATGCTGGAAATCACTTGGTTTTCCTTCCTTATTTAAAATACATGGTCATAAGCAACTCATTACTAACAGTGGATTATCAATAGATGGAAAATGCCCAGCTATCTGCAGCAAGAAACAGTGACTTTGCCAGTGCTGCTCAGGAGCAGCTGACGGAAACAAAGATGAGAATTGATGCTCTGACATCTCAAATTCATCAATATCAATGCCAGGTACTATCTTTATTTGTATACCATAATTATTTTAATTTAGATACTCAATTCAAAATATTGGCCCCTCGTCTTCAATCTTCAGTTATGGTCTAATTGATTCTTTTATCCTCTTAATCTTAGAATTTTGCATTGGAGACCAAAGCAAGGGAGCTACAGGAGATGCTGGATTATGATCGTGATCTGCATCGAAGGCGTATTGCTGAAAAAGAGAAAGAAATGGCAGAAACCCAGCAGCAGGCACGAGCACATTTGGAAGAATATGAACATCTCTTGGATGTGAAACTGGCTCTAGATCTGGAAATAAATGCCTACAGAAAGTTACTGGAAGCAGAAGAACATAGGTAGGCTATGACAATATATTCTTACATGAACTTGCGTCATCCACGATCTCTATACTTACTAATAGTATAATCTTCAGAATGTAGAGGAGGCAAGAAATAAATATTAAGTGTCATTAGTGTCATAATTTAGTTCCTGAAGCATAATCTTCTGTAGATGGTATTTATATCCCACATCTACCACATGGCGTAGTATGATGAAGTAACTTGATAAACCCAGCTGATAAAGTTCAAAGATCCATTAGCCATCCCCCAACTTTCTCAAAACTTTGTGCTACATCCTAGAGATGCCAAAGACCGTGCTCAAGTTTCATGAAACTGGGACAATGTATTAATTCCCAACTGTCCAGACACTGTCTGGTGAGAACAACATGAACTCTAGGAAGGGTCAAAAACTTAAACTACTTCTGCTAAAGACTGTGTCTGTAGAGACTTTAAAGGAATACTTACTGCAATTGGGAATCTCTTCTTATCAACATAGACTTGCTCTGAACTCTAGGGCTGGGGCTGTCTCCCAGACTTAACAAGCTACTTAAGATTTTATTTTTACTAGCAAGAGTAGTTATTTGAAGACTTCATGGAAAGCTTGGATATAAGAAGCTGTTAGGCTTGGCTATAGTGGGAGGATAGGACTGAGAGGAGATAAGCACATCAGATATTCAAGTGAATGTTATCTGACTCCCTTCTAGGCTAAAGCTGATACCCAGTACATCTTCACACACCATTGCAACTCAAGCAACAAGTCAAGGGTATGGGAAGAAAAGGAAAATGAAAGAAGGCAGAAAGAGAAGGCATAGTGTTGGATTTAAGATTGTTCAGCATGCTTCATCTTCTGGAAGTGTATCTATTGAAGAAATCGATGCAGATGGGAAATATGTCAGGCTTAAAAACAACTCTGATGAGGTACTTCTGTTCATTCAAGTCTGCATGGCCTTCACTGCAAAGTACAACTGCTTGTGAAGTGACCTGCAGCTTAGTGAGAGATGACAACAGAGAAAGATGAAGAGATGAGGGAATAGTACTGCCAAAAAAAAAAAAAAAAAAAAACAAAAAAACCCAAGCAAAGTGAGGATTTCTCAGCTAACCTGGCTGCTGTCAAGAAAAGGCTAGAGACTGATTCTTTTATTTGGTACTGCAGGTGTCTTGTTCATATGGCTGTCTGGGAGGTACACTGGGTTCTATGATGCAGAAATCTAACACCTTCAGCTGTTTCTCATCAGATTCAGGCTAGCACCATCAGAACTACTACTTATCATCAGTGAACTAAGGTGCTTAATAAATTGGATAATGACAGCTTCTTATTATTTAAAAATGCTTAAAATGGCTAAAAGGTTCAATAGAGCTGACTGTATCTAATCCATGCAGAGTGTTTATCTGACCAATCAGATGATAATTCTTTGACTAGTTTAGGCTGCAAATACAGATTGGAATTAATCATCAGAGCTTCAAAACTTGTCGCTGGTAACTTAGCCACTTCAGCCTGGGATGCCTTAAACCTGCACAGGCTACTACATATGTGTTGTATATATGGCCCAAGCTGGTGGGTTGGGATGACAAACTTCATTATCAGAATCTCCCTATTAAAAAGCATCAGAATCCTCCTTCAACAGAAGGCAAGCGTAGGTGTGCCTAAACTTGTGGTATTAATATTAATCCTAAGGAAGTACAGGGAGAAATCATAGGGAGGCTGTAAGGGAAACTTGAAGGCTGCTTCAAAATTGATCAGATTCTTGTATGCTGCAGGAGTGGGACTAAAACTCTTCCTAGAGTCTAGGAAGAACTTTGCGCTTGTATGATATGGTGTTGGTCTGTAATGCTGAGAGAAATTTCTTGTCCCACAGGATCAACCACTACATGGATGGGTGCTAAGACGCCATCTTGGAAGTGTGTCAGATATGACATACAAATTCCCATCACGGTTCACTCTTCAGGCTGGCCAAGTAGTTACAGTAGGTAGTAGTTTTCTATAACTTAAGAGCTCTCTTCTTATTATGTTAGACAGCAATAGAGATTGATGTAATAAGGAGAAAACAGATTGATAATGCAAGTGCCTCAAGAAGTTAAAATCCTTATTTTACATGGGGGAGATGGAAAGAAACCTTGCAACAACTTCACCTGAAATGCCAATTAAATTTTCCTTAGAGCTAGGTCTTGGATTGAATTTGGATCATCCCAGATTGAGATGTGATGTTATTGTGAACAGAATCAATATATTATATTTATTCTCAGGGTTCCCCATACTCCAGTGATTTATTAAATTGTGCACAGACTTACATTGTTGCTAAAAGGTTTAGTCCACTACAGTTCAGCAATGCTGAGCTCGTGGTTATGGTACTAAGTTAAATAGTAGCTCTAAAATTATACCTTAAGTATGTTTAGATAGTGATCAGAGAGCTTAACTCTATATTCTGTACTCCAAACACCGTACAAGGTTGCTCAAGAGATCTGTGAGTGATCCCAGGCTAGAGCCTATCTTGTATACGCAATGGCTGCCATGAGTATGTCTGTGACTATGGCTTGGCTCTGACTTAAATAGTACACATGACCAAGCAAGGCTACCTCTGCATCAGGTGGAAGCTGTTAAAAGCCTTTTCTGCACTTACTATTTTACAGTCTTTAGTTTAAAAAAAAAAAAAAAAGTATTACCACCACTACTGGTAATCCTGACAAGAACTAACCTGCCAGCGATCACAGTTCCATTTCTGTTACTGGACATCTTTGATATTAGAGTATTATTTGTTAGACTGAATCCTAATCTAACTACTAAGATTATTCAGAAGCTCACTGAATGTGTTTCAGATCTGGGGTGCAGCTGCTGGTGTAAGCCCAGGTCCTAGTGATTTGGTCTGGAAGTCTCTGAAGTCTTGGGTAGCTGGGGGTGATATTGGAGTTACACTCATCACTGATGATGGTGAGGTAAGTGAGATAGTATTAGGATAGTAGAAGCTATTTCCTAAACTTCTTTGGTATGCTTAATTCTTGAGGGTTCATGGTGGCAATTCAATTGTATTCTAGGCACATGCAGAGAGGAAGATAATCCATGTACCCAGAGAAGAAAGTAGTGAGCAAGATGATGATTATGAAGAAATAACTGGAAGTGAAATGGAGTTTCCATCTCGGGTAAGCTGTCTGAAGTTTAAATGCTATCAGTCATTCAGTAGCCATTTATTTTCATAACTGTATGAAAATACTTTCCCAAGTACTACCCATATCCTACACCTCTTAACATTTTTCTTGATGTCAGACCAAAAGAAGAAGAAAAAAGAAATGTTGTTTGGTTTCATGATAGTGGTTCCTGTGAGCATCATTAAGCAGGTGAGATGGTGAGAATCATGCCTGTCATCTCATGGAAAACTTGCTTCATTAATAGCGCCATAGTCTCATCCCATATAGGATGTAGCTTGCATGGCTTTGCATCAGAAGTGGAATTGATGTTTTGCTTGGTCTGTGGTTGAATATGATCAAATAGTAGCATTAATTGTCTGGTCTCTTATTAATGACACACTGAAAAACACTAGCCTTAATGTCTGTTCCATCTAAACATCTGACTATGAATAAATTTGAAAGCTGTTACCCCAAGAACAGAATGCAGGCAATAACTAGAAGTATCTTATTTTTGTGGGATGAAGTGACTTATCCGATACTCCAGTGTCCCCAACTTGCTCCTAAGGGAACTTAAATTCACACTGAAGAAACCTAGTATTTGCATTCAAAAGTATTAAAAGGCTGAAATCAAAGTTCTTAGTGTATTGATTGCATAAATACCTCTTAAATTCAAGCATGAGTTTGAGGCACTTCTGTTACAGCTCACTTCCAGGAACTCCATTTTCTTACTTTGCTGTGCAAAATACGTATCTCAGCCTTGCTTCAGTCATAAATACTCTTGCATCTTACTGTACCAAGTCTTAAAGCCACCACCATTTCCTAGATATTTTCATAATATACCCGTCTGAATACTTAAAAGTACCTTACTACTGTCTTTCTGAAGAAAATGTGCCAAAGAATAGGCACTTACTGCCTGCTGCTTGGTTCTTTTCCTTGTCTTTCTTTCCAACAGAAAACCTGGGTAAATATCTATTACTACAATACCATCTGGCTTAAAGGATGCTTCTTAAAGTCTCCTGACTTACATGTACATTCTTGTAATATTTTCAGTCTTCACTGAATGAGGGTAAGACCCTGTTAAATAGGCTACTGAGAAAGGCTCTATAATGCTATTCTAGCCTTTGGGCTCTTAATGCATAACATATACCAAAATCACTGAAGTAACACCAGTGAAAGCTTTAGGCTTATGAAGAGACTTACTGATACAAGCTTTAAATATTCAGAGCAGGGCCTCTCCTCAAAGTTTTGGTTTTTTTTTTGTTTAAAGGCTCTTAATTTGAATTGATTAATAATATGGCTAGTTTGGCAATTGATGATGGAAAGCAAAAGTAACTTTTTTCCTTACACCTCTAATCTGTTTTATCAGCAACTTTACAATACAGTTGTGTGCCATTTATGGTAAGAATCAATTACAATACTCCCACTCAAATGTTAATGTTGTTCCTGTCTGCTGAATGCCTATCTAACTTTTGTCATTAGTACCTATATGCTTCTGGTGCATTGGTAGTACTGAAATAATGGCATCTTAGTAAAAACCAGGTAATTGCTTGCATGCAGTAAAATGATGCAAAGAAAGCATGCTGTGCTTTGTGAAGGCAGGGTTTCCATGCTTTTTGCTTTTACCATCCTAACTAGGGTAGCATGAATCTGCATGCCAGTGAAGTTTTGATGCTTGAGAACAGAGGTACTGATGGTTAACTTGATAGGCTTTAATTAAGGCATAGGCTCTTCATGTATTGCACGGACTCAAACTTCTTAAAAGCTTATCTTTTTTTCCCTACACCCAAACCATCTAGTATAGTTAAGGTGGTGCCTCTCTTTAAAACCTGCTTTGCTTTATTATTAAAGTAAATAAATCTAAAAACCGCTAAAAACACCATACACCTATATGAAGATCAGGTAGGTAACCAGCAATAAATACAAAGTTGGTACACATGCTAATTATCCCAACGTCTTTTATTTCTGCAGCAAAATGAGGATCCTAGCTGTTCTATCATGTAATGTGGACAAGAAGATGATCATGTGAAAACACTTCTGAACAGACTCCATGTGTTTTGGTGTCTTCTGCACTATCTGAAACTTGGAATTCACATCTCCCATCTGACCTCTTTGTAACAAACACTGTCCATAACATGATGAAATTTCCTACCTTCTGATATTGGACCCTGTCCTTGGGTTCACTGATAAACAGTAGAATACAAACTCCATGTGAAGTTGTTTTTTTTTACTTTTAACACAAGGATCTGCTTTCCATGACCTGCTGAAATAGAGGAGGATACACAGTTTACAAAGCTTCTAAACATGTACCCTAGAAGGATGCTAATAGTTATCAATCAGCATGAAGCTGCATCGGCTTTCTCAATATTCTGACATGGTCTTTCTCCAAAGGTAATTTCTGTTTTAAGCCTGAGTTGGAAACGATGTGGGCCAGACTACACCCTAGTTTGCACCCTGAGCAAGTCTGAACTTGGCTGAAGTAAAACACCATCCTGATGAGCATCTGAAATGTTTCCTGCTCAGATCCTGATGCTGAAATATATGAAACTGGTCTAGATCACTTGCTAGAGAACTTCCTAGACTAAAACACTTTAAAGTGAAAAGCTAGTTGTAAAAATATTTTTGTCTGCTATTACATGTAGTTTGTTTTCTAGCACCTGGAAATCTACCAGTTTCAATATTGTATATTTTTACACAGTGTATCACAGCATAGCTGTATCAACTTTAACTTGGACAGATGTATCCTGTAAATGTGAAAAAAAGCATCTCATTCCAACAGAGGAGGTACTGTAAATAGCAACACTTGCACTGAGTTGTCTCCACAAGACAGTTTTCGAAGGGGATAGAAAAAAAAAATGCTGAAACAAAACCTAAAACTAGAAAGCACCAACTCTGTAGTAAAAGGTGCATCAAAAATACCTGCTCTTGGATTTAATATATAAGGAGTCTCTGTGCAGTCTGCAGCACTGCTCATGTATGTCTGTTGGGCAGTTGGGGGGAATACTGCCTATTGGCCAGTAGGTAATTTACTGTAACTTTTATAGCTCTGTAGACAATGTAAAACCTGACCTATAATCTTCAAACTAGGCAGTCAGCCTCAGGGGCCACTGCATTCAATTATTCTTAACTTTTTTTAGTAAAATGCCTACCTGCTGGCTCTGTAGTAAAGAAAGGGCCTTGATGAGCCACATAAAGTACACTTAAGAGCATGAGAAGGGGAGCAGCTAAGATTGGAGTTTCTCCAGGTGCTAGAATAGTTTTTAGACTGCCTATCTTGACAAAGTATTCTGGTCTGAATTTAAGACTTGTTCTGTGTTAGGATGCAGTTGTTAAGGTGAGACTTTCCTTATACTAGCTTAAACTCCCTAGTTATTTCAAAATTCTGGGTTTGAGACATCAGCAGGCAATGCTGGTGATACTTTTATTTCAGTAGATCTGAATTCTTGTTGTAGCTTATTGCTCACATAAAAAATAGCTACTGCTCTAACCTTGCTCTATTTATCTTGATTTCTTAAACTTTTTTCAACTAATAAAGGTATTTTTCATGCCTATAAAAGCAGTCTTGGACTTTAATATTTGCAAGTTAAATAATAAAGTTCCATTTGTTCATTGATCTTGAGTGGCTCAAAAGACTTTGAAGTAATAAAACTAGTGAGTTTAGGGAAGATTCCCTGCAGACTGAAGAAACCTTCAGACATACTCTATTACTCAGTTCTTCAAATAAAGCTAAGCTCTGAACTTGATTTAAGAGGGATCTTCAGTATTTCAAATGAAACCTTTTCAAGGCACAAGGGCAGGATCATATTGAGCAACAATCATGCACAATCTGTACTAGTATACAAGTCTCGGTAGGAAATACCAGTGGTACAGGATCTTGTTTATTAACACCATCAGCAGTCCAGGAAACAAGATCTATTTACTCAACTATACATCCTCCATGACAGTTTATAAAACTTAGCATACAATCTTAAAAGGCACATACTAAAGAAACAATTCTCTGATGTGCAATGGATCCTATTGTGAAAATTGTTTTCTGTGTAGCAAACCTTAACCCTGGTTGATTTCCTGTGACCTCTCTGTATACTTTATCCTAATCAATAACAGTATAGCTTTCTTGACTTGCTTCCAGCTTATTACTTTTGCCATAGCTGCTTCTGTTAGATGAGACCTCTTGCAGCTGACCGGGAGCTCTATAGTAAAGGGCAAGCTGCCTACTGTAAATTGTATGGAGAATTCGGGCTTCTATAGGTGTACATGTGTGTGCATATGTCATTTTTTCCTCTAAGGAATTCTGGTGAGGTAAAAGATTGCAATGCCTCTTTTCTTGCCTGCTATGGAATGGTATGACTAGTGAGTCTTCTCTGATAAAAGGATAAAAAGCAAAAGTAGCTGTGAATGCCAAATATTTAAACCTTTGAAAGTCGTCCCTTATGTTTTATATTCAGAACATCACAGATACTTTCATTCAAAAACTAGGTCAGGACAAGTTATTTTCCATACTGCTGCTCTAATACCTACTAGGTACTTCTTATCTGTGAATTTGGAAAAGAGCTGATGAATTTTCTTTTTTACATGAACAAGTCCAAATTCTGAGATGATGGTGCCTTACTAGCAGGCTGTAGCCAAATCTACAATAAATAATCCTCTACTACTTGTACAAGTCAAGGCCAGAGATGAGAAAAATGAGAAAGCCATGGTTTTGAGAGTTAGGGGCTATTTATGCTTCTTAGATGTAAAAGGTACTGTACCTGTGATAAATGTGAAATTCTTTCCTCTCTAGGGAATGCTGTTTCAACAGAACCAATTGGAGCTTGAAATTCTGAAGCTGGATTCAAGCCAGTTTCCCCATACAGAGTTCAGCTCCCTTCTCATCACTCTCTCATACAGAAAGCAACTGTCAAAAGATCACATGTTCCTCTGGGGCTGCTGAATTTTTTGGTTATTGGTACTTCCACATTTATTAAGCAAAGCAGGTGAAGGCTAACAGAAAAATAAATGAATTCTGTCTTCATTTTGATAGTACTTAAGATGTCGGTGTCTGTCCTTCATTTTGAGGCTTTTTTGCATATTTTTAGTTCTATCTTGTCTTTCCACCTAGTCTTCTCTTTCTCTTCCTTCTCCAACCCTTTCAAATAAATACAAAAAAGTAGAAGCGTATTGACTTTTCATTTGTTTGCAGTGGTCACCAGTGATACTCACCTATATATCTGTATCAACTTCTATACAAACCCTGTGGAGCTAGGATCAGTTTGCACTTAGTTCAAAGGAAATTTTCTCTTATCCTCCTGCTAGAAGAAAAGTTTAACAGACATTATAAACTCTACACAAGCAGTAGGAAGCAAACGAGATTATTGAAATGGCAGTGGCTGAGGTGTCATAAAACTTATAATTTGGCATTATTATTGCATTTTTAATGTAGCATTGTTTTCTTCACTGAAAGCCGATATGTTTAAGCAAAAGTGACCTCCAGCTCAAAAACAACTGCTAGAACTATAGGAGTAGAAGCAGCAACCACTGTTCTTATCCCACAGAAGTATTTATTCAGTTTGGTCAGTAAATTATAGGAATTCCCAATGCTGAGAACTTGTACTTAGTATAACAACATCATAATATTGACAACAACCACTTTGCCTTTTGTCAACGTACAATGTGAAACATGGATTAACTTGCTCACAATAAATTACAGTGTGATCAATGAAAAGAGTTCAATGACATCAGTAACTTAGGAACTGGTTACAGTTAGCTTCACTTACAGTATTTTAAAAAATGGTTTTCAATAGTAAAATCATTGCAGCCAAAGATAAAAAAAATCCACGTACAATAATAGCAAGGAAATGCATTTTTGGAGCAACAGTGAGCTACCAGTAAACACTTCATACAGTGATCTTCAAGGCACAAAGCAAAAAAACTGGGCATGGGTTTTTTTGCAGGTTGATGAGTCAGGAAAGGTGAAATTTTTTTGAATATAAAATAAATACATTTTAAAAAGACACATACAAAAGTCAGTAAGTCAGTCAAATAGCAAGGCTTTCACAGAATGCCACACTGACAGAACATTTGTGAATCCATTTCAGTCATGAAATCACGTTCACAGCTTGAATGACACGATCACTGAGGCAAGGGAACCATCACTTCAACATAATTAATTGGGAAGAAGCCAGACTCTCCATTTAACATCCCCTCATACCAATTCTCATCAATCTGATTGGTCAAAGTTATGATGTCCCCTTCCTTAAACCCAAGCTCGCCTTCATTTTCTGGTTCGAAGTCATAGAGAGCTTGGCAGCAAGGCTGATCCATGTGCACTGAAGAACCTGTCCCCAGTGACAGAAAAAAACCCCCATATTAATAGAGCTTCACAGCATCGCACCAGCCACTAAGCATAAAACAGTGGGTCAAAAAACATAGCCCTGGTGTCACAAATTCCCCCCCCCCCAACATTTTTTCCATTGCTTTCACCCATTAACATCTGGTACATCTGAAAATTACTACTAGTGATAATTACTTTAAAGCACAATTCTGTTTCTCCCTTAAGTTCAGACGCTACTCTATTTTCATCCTGAGTTGACCTCCCTTTTGAAAGGATGTTTATCTCCAAACCGATAGATTGAACAATCACAGTTGTCAAAATCAGTGTGGTCTTTCTGCAGCGGTAGCTACAGGAATTGGAAGGGTAGGAGTTGAGGAAGTAGAAGGGTCAACAGAAGTGACAAGTAATTGTTTAAACCAGTACCACTTCAGCACACTGCTACTGCGTGAATACCTACCCAAGGGCAGGGGCTGGGGGTCAGTCCAACGAACACACCCATGCAGCCTGGAGGCACCCACCTGGATTTTCACACTACATGTGCATTTGCAGGAGCAAGGCCTAAAGGTGCTCCTGCGTTAAGACTTCCACCCTCACCTCACTTGAGCAGTGACAGTCATTTCTGGGTTACTGCTCCCCAGGTTCGTGTGTTCAAATCCTTTATTGTATACATCCTTCATCTTAACTAAAGCAGAAGTTATGCTAGGAACAATGGTGCCTGTCAAACTGTTTTACAAAACAGTTTTCCAATACAGTATCTGGCCGTTCTTGTGACTTACGCTGTTTGCCCTGCTATAAAGATCTTAATTCCAAATTACTCTCTTAAAATATTAATGGTAACATAATAGTAAGTACATATATTTACAGGAAAACAAGTAAATATAAAGTACAAAACAGA